CTGGCAAGGCCACGGCGGGAACCAGCCAGACTAGAGCCACTGCTGGCAGCAGTTTATCAACTAGGTCACGTTCCCACCTCTCTGGCTTTTCCTTGCTGCCATCAGCAGGAACTCCCTCAAACAAAACTGGCCTGTGGTTCGTCCTCAGTGAAGTCAGCCTGGGGACGAGGTGGGGTGTCTACGTTTGCGGCCAGGCACGGAGAAACTGCGGCCCCGGGGACGTGCCGGTGGAAGGAAGGACCAAGGAGAGGCAAGTGGAACAAGTCTGGCAACAAGCAAAGTGAGGGGTGCCCGGGAAGGGCTGAGGCTGGGAAGTGGGTGCCTGCCGGCACATGGCACACCCCCCACGCACTCACCACCCCCCCAGGCACTGCGGGGACGAATGGGGTTCTAGTGGGCTGTGTGGCCTCAAAGACAGGAAAACAGGGGAGACACAACTGTCACAGAGGGGCAGGGAAAGGTATGTGTGTCTGTTCCACGCTTGGTGCCGAGTGCGACAGAGTCATCTCCTTTATTTTTCCCAGGAGGCTGTGACACCCTCACTTCCCAGGTGCGCAAACTAGGCTCAAAGGGGTAAATGATTTTCCTAGAGTCAGACAGCACCTGGCAAAGCCCAGGACTTGAACTCCAAGCCCAAGCTCGTAATCTCAAGGGCACCCCAACTTCTTGACACAACACAGAACTATGTGTTTGGGGGCCCTTCCCCTGGGGATCACCCCCACATACACACACAACCTTTTTCCTTATCCTCTCAGGTAAGTCAGAGGCAATGAGTGAGATTCTAAATGAGGGAAACACTATTTTTTTCAAAAGCAAGAGAACAAACAACCCGTTATTTTATGGGCAAAAGATCTGACTAGACCTCACCAAAGAAGATATACAGGTGACAAATAAGCACACAAAAAGGTGCTCAACATCGTATGTCATTAATGAATCACAACGAAGATTAAAGTGGGTGGCGAAAACCCAGCACACGACACTGCCCAGCACTGGCACAGACATGGGGCCCCGGGGACCGTCACTCACTGTGGAGAGGCGGGGCCACACTGGAGGCAGCGTCCCCCAAACTCGAACACGCTCCTACCGGCCGATCCAGCACTGCGTGCCCAGTCGGCATTCGCTCCAAGAACTGAAAACTCATGTCCACACAAAAAACACGGCACACCGATGCGTATGCCAGTTTTGTCATCGTCGAACTTGGAAGCAGCCAAGATGTCCTCCAGCAGCTGGATGGATAAATAAACCGCGGTGCATCCAAGCAGTGAAATAAATTCAACAGTAAAAATGAGCTATCAACCCACGGAAAGACACGGAGGAACCTTAAATGCACGTTGTTGGGTGAAAGCAGCCGATGGGAGCGGGGATATGCCGGATGGGTCTGAGCAGGACGGTCTGGAAAAGGCGAGACTGTGGAGACAGGAAAAGGACCAGAGGTGTGGGGGCGGAGAGAGGCAGGGTGAAGAGGTGGGCCACAGGGCAGCCTCAGCGCAGCAAACCCATTCTTCTGTACAATGTCGTAATGGAAGCTACATGTCCTTACACGCGTGTCAAAACCCACGGCGCGTACAGTAGCAAGAACGACTCCTGATGTGAACCACGGACTTTAGTTAACCACGACGTATCAACACTGGCTCATCAGTGGTGCCAGCGGCACCGCATCAGTGCCGGATGCTAACAATGGGCAGCTGGGGGAGGAGAGGGGACCTGGGATGTCTGTACTTCCCCTCAGTCTTTCTATAAACCTAAAACTGCTTTCTAAAAACACTCAAACACTGTCAATGCAACGGAAAAAATGTTTAATTTTCTCCTACAAAGAACCTGATGATACCACTAATCTGACATTTGTATAATGTGTCACGCCCTTCAAAACGCTTTGTGTCTATTACCGATTCGATCTTATCATCCCCGTCAGCAAAGGAGGAGAGCATGTACCATTCAGGCCTTTATTCCCTGAACACGCTGTCCGTCCCCACCGCGCGGCCCTCGCAGGGACACAGCCCACTGCAGACTGCAAGGTCAACAAACACCAGCTCCCGGTCCTTTCTCCTCATCGTAGGCATCACGATGGGCACGCGCACATTTATTTCTTTGTGGGCTTGTTTGGCTCCGCGAGGTCCACGGGGACGGGGGCTGCCCCTGTTTTCTGTGCTGTGAATGCTCAGTGCGGGCTGCACATGAACAGGATGAATGTGGATGAACCAGACAGCGGCTCTAATAAATGCGGGGACCGTACAAAGAACAGTGGGAGCCACGGGGAGGCGCAGGCAGGGTTTCTCTCTGCAGGCAGGGTTTCTCTCTGCGGCAATCCCAGGGGGCTGCGGAGCGCAGAGTCTGGGGGAGGGCTACGAGGAAGAAGCAGGGACCTGGCAGGCATTGGGCAGGCATTCCAGGAACAGAGTCCTCCTGGTAGACCTGCCAGAGAGGAAGAGGCCTCTCGGAATTTTAGAGCTGGAAAGGAACTCTCAAGAGCTAGCTAAGGTCACAGGTAATTAGGACAGGAAGTTCCTGGGCACCAACTTAGGGTCGGCGAGATCAGAGACCTGAGACCTCCTGGGAGCCTATGAACACAGCTAAAGGTACCTTGCTTGATTCTCAAGTTTTCTCCTAAGTAAGGCTAGTGACACAGAAAAGGGAACACAGACACCCCAGCCCCTCCGCATGCATCCCCACCCCCAGGAGCAGCAGTGTGGCCACACACAGCCAGCCCAAAGGTGGGAGGCCCCCGATGTCATCCTGTGCCATACACGTTATTTTAACACAATGCTTTTCACCCGCCCTAAGTGATGGCTCCCGAAAGTGTCTTCCAGTAAAATTAGGTTCAGAATTATGCAAACTCTAGTTCTGTGTAATAATAGCGGTAACAGAGGCTGACACTCACACAGCACCTTGCAAGCATTACAACGCAGGTAATCCCCCCACGACGCTGCGGGGTGCAGGCAGTACCCCCGTTTTACAGAGGTGTCCAGCACTCTGCAGGGCGCAGCCCCACACCCAGACGAGGGAAAACAGGCAGCGAGTTCTCTCTCCCAAGGCACATCTCTTGTCCACAGCCTCACGCCCACAGACAACACCAGTGTGCGAGGTTGGAACCGGCTCCGCTGACTCCAGCTGCACCATCGTGGGCCTGGAGTTCCCCATGCTCTGCTCCTCCTTCGTTACAACGGAGGGAAGAACACCTTCCGCAGAAGGTTTTGTCCAAGATGAGCTCTGGTAGCAGAGTGAGAGTACCACATGCGGTGGGTGCCGGGCGCACCGCAGACCCTGCAGGAAAAAAACGTGGCGGGGGGTGGGGGGGGACTCTGGGGGAAAAAATACTTTTTAAAACCAAGCCCATTCTGAACCTCTGGTGGACTCTGCACTAGAAGGAGGAAATGGAAGAGTTAAAAAAAATCTGTGACCCAGATGACCGCAGGCCCCTGGTGAAAGATATCGAGGCCAGGGCCCTCAGCCAGGCTGCCAGGGTCAAACCTGGGGCAGGAAGCTGCGCGCTTCCTCCTCCTGCAGGAACTCGGTGCCGGCGCTGGCGGCGCACTGGCCTGGCCGGGAGGGGGCTTCCTGCAGCTAGCCCCACCCTCTTCTCCCAGAACATTCCATACTCCGCCAGGAGACGCAGGAAGGGGCCTGTGGGCACCTCCCTTCCAGGCCACCTCTGACCCGCAGCCTTGCCCAGCTCCCGCCGCCTCCCCGCAGAGAGACCGAGGCCCGCTCACCCACCCCAGACCTGCCGCCCTGCGGGTCTCGGGCTGCCCGCCAGAGCCGGTGAGAGTCGGGTTGGGTAGCTGGGTGGCCGGTCGCTGGGCCTCAGCCACGGCCCTAGTTTCGCCCGTACACTCTTTCCTTAGGCCCCCGACTGGTCACCTGCTTCCAGGCCGGGTGCCCACTACAAATAAGTAGGTCTGTTCAAGGACAGCCCGCGCCACTGCCCTCCTTGAGCGGCTGCACCGGCTCCCGCGCGGCCTCCGTGCTGCTCGTTAGCTGCCGTTTCCTGTAAATCAACTGTGTTTTCCTTCAACTTATTTTCAAAGGAAAATTTCTCTCTCCACCATAAATAGAAAACCATATCATCTGCCATAAACAGAAGGCAAATGAAGAAAAAGTTATGTTCTAATACATATGGAAATACACACATAATCATTAAAATGTTTTAAATGCTTATATATAAAATATACTTACTATTATTGTATAATATACTTAAAATCCTTTCAATCTAAGAAATGCTGCCTTGGCACTTTATTTTTTTTAAGATTTTATTTATTTATTTTTAAAGAGAGGGGAAGAGAGAAAGAAAGAGAGGGAGAGAAACATTGATGTGAGAGAGAAACATTGATTGGTTGCCTCCCACACCCACATCGACTGGGGGACCACACCCCACAGCCCAGGCATGAGCTCTGACTGGGAATCGAACCGGCGGTGTTTCTCTTTGTGGGACGACACCAACTGAGCCACACTGCTCAGGGTGGCACTTTAGTTTTGCTTCCTTCTGGCCCTTGTTTTTTCTGGTCCTGTCTCACAACATCTTGTCCAGGTTGACCCCACATAGCACTTGGGATCACAGATCCTGCAGCCCCTCTTCCGGTGCCTACACATGGCATGATGCGCAATATAAATACCTACAGAACAGACTGTCCCAATGTGCTCAGTCATATTAACATGCCCCTAAGCCCATCTGCTGTCCTACCTTCTGCCAAAGCACACATGTCCCCTGTATCAATCCCTACCCACCAAGGTCTCTCAGAGCACGGCACAGAAAGGGTAGAAACTATGGAGGATGTGCCGGGACCCCAGCTGCTACTTCCTCTGAAGCAGCAGGACCCAGGGCAACAGGGAGAAGCGAGTCTCCAGTCACCCATTAACCAGCTCTCCCCCAGCACAGAGGACACACCCTTCCCCAGGAGTTGGCCAAGTTCTGGGAAAGCCCTGTGTGAACTGGGTCCCTGGCTCCAGGAAACACAAAAGTCACCTTCCTATCCCCTCCGAGCCAGAGACCCCCAAACACCTACCAGGAGCTGAGGGGAGCTTCTCCTGGGCCTCCCCGTGCTGGCGCCCCAGATGGGAGGAGTGGGTCACTCTCCCACCCACTGGAGTTGTCAGGGGCGACCCTGATGAGGATCTGAATCACTCAGATCTAAGTCAACAATGGGAAGGCCCAGCTGGAGCCAAACCAAGGCCTGGATTCCCCTTGGTGGACGGAAGCCTGGCCAAGGCCAGCCCATGGCCAGTGTGCTGGTGACTAGTTCCCCTGACGACGCAGTCTCCTAAAAGTGAACAGACACAGGGCATTTCTTATTAGAGGGAGGCCTCTGCTGGGAACATTTGCATTCTTTTTGGTGTTGTTACTATTTTTTTTAGTCTGGCCACTTTTATGACTTTCAAAGATTTGTTAAAAAGGCTACATTTCATGAGGAGATATCCAAAATACTCACTGCAGGCAGCAGACATGCATGGGACGACAGCACCCCAAAACTCCCTGAAGCCTCAGCTGCCGGGGTGGGACGCCCACCCAGTGACTGGGTGCAGCTCCCCGGGACGAAGGTGGAGGGAGGCGTGGAGAACGTGAACATTGCTCACTGCCGGATCCAGCCATACCTGAGCCACTGATTTGATTCCCAAGTTGCCAGGTCCACAGAGTCCCCTTTGTGTTTAAGTTGCCAGTGTCACAAACACCCTCCCCCAAGCAGCTGGAGGAGGAGGATGTGGGCAATGCAGCGAGGCCTGCATCCCGACACCTGCCGATCACGAGAAGGAAGGGGACAGGGATCTCCGTGTTGACCTTTTCATGGCACAAACAAGCCGAGGACAGAGGAAATGCTGTAGTGATGAGAAAAACGCCGCCTCCGGCCTCCTGTCCCCACAGAGAGCAAAAGCAGGTGCTGCTGAGAGGGACCGAGGGACACCGAGGTTCTCAGACTGGGTTCCAAGGAGCCCAAGGAGTGTCATGCGCCTCTTTTGGGGCTGGTAGCACGGAGTAGGGAGGGATAAGGGGAGTATTCCCACCCAGCCCAGAGCAACTCGGCTGCTGCCTGCGTCATATATGTTAGGCTTTCAGGGAAGATTTCACCTGAAGAAAAGGTTCTATATCTCAAAGTGTTGAGAAGCGCTGGAGCGTGACATCGGCTGTATCAAAGAGAAGAAAGTGACGTGGGTCATCTCTGAGATCTCGGAAAGCAGCCGCTGCAGAGCCCAGCGTGCACAGAACCAGCGGGTCCTTCGCCCTGAGAACGCGCTCTGTGCGCAGGAGGAGCGACGGGGGAGAGGGGCCTCCTCCAGCAGGCCTAGCCCGGCCACTGTGCACTTCCCAGTAGGCCCACGGCTGGCAAGTGCAGGGGCAGCAAAATCACGAGGGGCCTTGGGCCAAGTCAAGCCATCGAGAAAAGACACCCGAACCTCAGCAGGGACTCGGCCAGGTGCAGGCACCAGAGCCAGATCTGTGGATCCAGGGACCGAAGGAAGCCAAAGCAATGTGACAAGTGGTGTCAGTCACCGGAGGGGACCTTGGCAAAGCCCTGGAATAATTGCAGTGGCAAGAGGCTGGCTTCCAGGTGCTCCCCAGTGGCCTGTGGCACGGGAAGGCTGGAGGTCCAGGAGGGACCAGACCTGAGGGTGTGAGGAAGCCAAGGGTGCCTGCCTCGCATGACTGAGAACGACGGGCGTGCTGGGCACTGCTAGACCGATGCACCCTTCCAACTGCCCCCAGCTGACAGTGGTGCAGACAGCGGTGCAACCGTGAGCAAAGGCTGGGGCCTCTGTTGGCCTTCTGTAACAGACACACGTGGTCTGCCCAGCATTCCTTTCTGTGGGAATGAGGCCTCTTCCAGGCTAAGGAAATCGTGCCCAGTCATTCTGGGTGGGAGAAACCGGTCCCTCCTTTCTCCTCCTCGGAGTGAATGTGGCTGGGGCCCACCAATTAGAACATCCCCTGGGCACAGTGACAGGGTCAGGGCTGGGTGTGTGACCCAGGCCCAGCAGTGCAAGTCCTCCTGAGGCTCTCACCAGAGTTGCTGAAAAATACACTGTTTCCCTGTGAGAACAACGTGGGTGTGGGTGGCCAATCGCCACCTTGTTGCCACCAGAAACAGCCTGAGAATGAAGCCAAGTGGAGCTGAGAGATGGAGGTCCTTACTCCCCATGGCATTGCTCACTGCCGGATCCAGCCATACCTGAACCACTGATTTGATTCCCAAGTTGCCAGGTCCACAGAGTCCCCTTTGTGCTTAAGCTAGTTTGAGTTGAGTCTCTGTGATTTACAGTCAAGGGTCCCGAGTAGGTCACCTATCCAGAAATGGGAAGGAGTGGGAATGCACCACACACGCTAACTCTAGTGTCTAAAATGTCTAGAGCCTGACATTTTAACAGAAACACTATGACCCCTGCTCTCGTGACCTCTGTCCCTTTGGAGGTGTATGCCAGCAGCAGCTTGACCCGGAGATGCCAGAGAGGAGGCTGCTGTCCTCCGGTGCTCATCCCCAGGCTGATCTTGGCTCCCCTGCAGCGGCCACGTGCCCAGAGGGAGCCCCTCCACTGTGGGCTTCTTCCACGTCCCCTGGACAGTGTGGCCATCTCCCCTCTCTGTCACCCCCTGTGAGCTTGTCCCTCGGCGTGCACTCAGACCATTAAAAAAGTTCATCCACACACTCATGTCCCCAAGAATGCCTGAAGCTGTCCCAGGTCACCCCTGTCCACCCGGCTCCATCGTTCACCTCTGACCGCCCCAGGCTCAGCAACCGGAATGAACATGCCAAGGGCGCCCTGCGTGCTGACGTGAGGCCCTCCAGCACTAATTCGTGCGGAACGTGTGGGGCAGGGGCGGCGGTGGCCCTCCGTCCAGCGTCCCCTGCGGTCCCAAGACCGCAGCAACAGGTCCCCTCTCCGCACTGTCCGGCCAGAATCCCGCCAAATGTGTTGGAGCGTGAAAGCAGGTGCCAGATGGCTACATAAATGCACATGTAGGATTTGCAAGGAGGAGGCCAAAAGGAGTAAACTGAATGACTTATGTGGATAAAGCAAGGTAATGTAATAATTAGTATAAATAGGAAATAAAAGTTCCCTAGATAAGTGACTAAGGAAAAAAACAACAAAACCTTAAAAAGTTCAAGAGGAAGGAAATTAAGTAAACGAATTAGGAAAACAAATCTACGTCTGGGAAATAGAAGCAGCTCACCATTGCGTGCTGTGTCTGTGACCAGAACTGTGTCAGCGACAGTGTGAGTGGTGAACCAGCCACACAAAACCCCTCTGGAGAGCTGGGCCAGGCCAGCAGTGGGTGGCCCACATGGCTGGAGCCTGCGAGAGGCGGTCCCAAGGGTTAACAGGCACGGGAGAGGCAGAAGGTACACTGAGTCCAGGGCGCAAAGGCTGTGCATCCCCCCGGGGACTGCCCCCACCACCGTGGGGCCACCCTCAGGCCCACCTGATTTCCCCAGCTCTCCCCAAGCCTGCCCCTCCCTGCCTGGGGCCCCTCCCACCCTCTCCCTGCTCCACTCCCAAATCTGCTGCCCCACCTTCTGCTGCCCAAAGCAAGCCTGGGGGCCAAGCTCCCAGTTGGCTCAGACCCACCTTTCCTGGTACAGCTGCTCCTGCTCCCTGCCACAGCTCTGAGGGCACCCCAGCGAATCCTGTCTTCTCTTGTCCAGCTCTGCCTCTCTGCTCCTGCTGCCCCCGTGGCCCCAGAGGTCCCTCCCCTCCACCTCACCCTTGTGGACTCGCCAAGGGCGCCGTGCCAGGAAGCCTTGTTCTCCCCTCTGCTGAGGCCCCTTGGCTCCCCGCCTGTCCCTCCTCTCAGCACTGAGCATTTGCCACCTTATGTTCTAGTCACATCTTTTCTGTTCTACTGGGCAGTCCACATCTGCTTCATCTTTGCACCCTGTTTATTCATTCATTCATTCACTCATTCCACAAATATGTATTGAGCACCTATTATGTGCTGGACCCTGGGCAAGGGCCGAGGATACAACAATGAACACGACAGATGCTGTTTCCGCCACCTTGGAACTCAGGTCTTGGAGGAGGGAAACACAAACCGAACAAACAGAGACAAATGTGGCAGCACAGCTGCGACACGGGCTCCGAGATAAAGGTGCAGGTGGCGTGACTTGTGAGCTCTGATGCGCAGGGCGAGTCAGGGAGGCATCTCTGAGGAAGTCAAGTTGAACGGGACCGGAGAGGGGAGGATGCTGGGTCGGGCGCACTATTGCGGCACGCAGTAGATGCTCACTAAGTATCTGTGGAACAAGTGGGTGGCCGTGAGGAGTCAGAAATTCCTGGCCTGTCCCGTGTCTCTCCAGACAAACGTGCCCCCTCTCATTCCCCTGACCAGTCACTCCACCTGGCTCCCAGAGGTGTTTGACAGCAAACACACCTCGGACGGTCAACAGGACATGTCCACCTCCATCACCCCTGCAGAGGCGCTCGCCACAACTTAGGGTGGCCACCTGTGACCCCCCGACACCGCCACCCCCCCCAGCACTGGAACGGCACTCGAGGTGGCGCCCCATCGCTGTCCTGGCCGCCCGGACCGCCTCACCGAAGGGCCGCCAGGTCCCTCTGCCTCTGTGACTGATCAGCGGTGTCCACCGCGGGAGCGGCAGCAGTGACATATGTGCCACATATTTCCCCGCCACTCGGGGCCTGCAGATGACCACCCAGGCAAGAAATCTCCCTCAGATCTAATTGCCTGGAAAAGCACTCGGCGTCTGCTGTCCTTTTCATTATGGGCCACATGAACCGTGCACATAATATTTTTTCCTGCTTTGATTGCTAATTAGCTCCGAGCTAAATCTGTGGTTCAAATACAGTCAACTGTGTATGGCTCTATAGCCTGAATATGCATTTAACTCTCTCCCTGATTTTGACCTTCTAGTTAATCTGCATTTTTCCTAATCTTATTGTTATGGGCTTCTACTTAATTATGTACACATACATACAGATATGCACATACATAAAATATCTATGTATAATTTATCTTTTTGTTATGAATGCATATTTCCATATTTCTTATATATCCCAGCAACATCCATGTATCCTTGTGGGCAGCTTGATCCCTCTAGGGAACAGGATGAGGGAAGCAGCAAAGAGATGGATGAATGGCAGGAAAAATAAGATGGTCTTTGCCTGAAACAATTCAGAGTATCACAGAGTGGGGAGTGGAGTCTGGGATTAGAGATCAGAAGCCAGGCTTTCAGTCCTGGCTCTGACCAGCCACATGTCCACGGAAAGAAAAAAAAAT